AGCCTCCCAAAGCACTGGGATTACAGGCTGAGCCACCGAGCCCGGCTCAAAATAGTTTTCAATATACTTACTGGAAAAAATTTGCCTATAAGTAGACCCATGCAGTTCAAACCCGTGTTGTTCAAGAGTCAGCTGTATATTTACTATTGCTATTATCATGATTACTTCTACCGTACTATAACAGAGTATAGTCACTACTTTTCCCTACTCAGTGTCTTCTTGTCCTGGCAGTCTGTAAAATCTCACTTGCAGTCCCTTATTTCTAGAACGCATACCGTAAGTGTTCTCGTAACTGAATCCTTCACCTCTTTGGGTTTCTGCTCAAATCCTACTTTTACAAACCACCCTATCTGTTGTTTTGCCCCTCTACCTTACTCTATCACGATATTATAAAATGATTTTCATTGTAATACTTAATACTCTCAGAAATTAGAAGTTTGCTTACTAATGATCCCCTTCAATAGAATGTAAGCTCCTTAAGAAAAGGATTTCTGGCCCGGCTCAATGGCTCAGTCTGTAATCCCAGCACTTTGGGAGGCCGAAGCGAGTGGATTGCCTGAGCCTATGGGTTCGAGACCAGCCCAGGTAACTTGGCGAGACCTCATCTCTACAATAAATCAAAAATTAGCCGGGTGTGATAGCATGTGCCTGTAGTTCCCGCTACTTGGAAAACTAAGGTGAAGGATCTCCAGAGCCCAGCAGGTTGACACTAGGGTGGCCGTGAGCAAGTAACTGCACTCCAGCCTGGGCGACAGAGTGACTCCAACTCAAAAAAAAAAAAATAGGATTTCTTCTTCACCATTGTGTTTCTCAGACTCTAGAACAGTGCCTGGAACATTTAGGTACAGAGTAAATATTTATTGCATGAATAGATGAAGGGCAGCGAATGTTGGGCAATTGTTAAATAGAATAATAAGTCAAAAAATCATTCTGTGCTCATAAAGTACTTAAGGGCAATAAGAATGACTGTTCCCTTCTGCTTAGGTTTTATTCATGATATGATATTTTGTAAAGACACTTGTGAACCATATAAAATTATTAAAATGCCTTGTTTCTTTTCTCTTGGCAAGTAGTCAGTGTTGGCTAAAGATATTCAGTCACTGGACTGAATATCTTATTTCATCCCAAAGGAGAGGAATGTTATTGAAAAAATCTAGCATAGCAGCCAAAAAGAAATGTTAAAAAATTACTTGAATTCAAAATAGAGTAGATACAGTGATTAGGGAGTCAGTGATTTATTTGCGAACACGAGAGATATCCCTGACACAGTTAGCCAAGCCCTGAGGGCAGGGCAGCTCACAAGGCATAGAGAAATGAAGACAGCATTTTTTTCCGCCCGTATAATTTTACCACTCTTAAATGTTGTGGCTTTTTTTCCTTTTTATTTTATTTTTTGCTTATCTTCTCTTAATAAAATTTTGTGGCGCTTTAGCAGAGAGCGCCGTGGCATGCACACAGAAGGAGAATGGATCTGGTGCCACAGCCCTGGGTTTGTGCTTATTCACTCTGTGGCCTGAATCCTTTGTGGAGTACTAGTACCCTTCTTAATGGCGGCCACAAAAATGAAACAAGACCATGTATGCAACGTTCAATGAAGTGTACAATGAAGTGATAAAAACCACACTCCAGGTTTTCTCCTGAGCTTCTTCCTTCCATGTCCATTTTTGCAATAATTCAGATTCCTTATTTACTTAGTGGGGAGGCTGACTGTGACTAAAGAATGGACCATAGGTTCCTTGTAGGCAGACCCTTGTTTATGTCCCCTTGGCTTAATGCACAGCTGACATAGCATTCAGTCCTCGTTGGTGGGACTGAAGGGGGCTGGTGAAGACAGGATCGGTTTCCTTCTGAGTAAGCACAGAAGAGGTGACTGTCGCTCAGTGACCCGCTCTAGGCCCAGAAATACACTATCATCAGTTATCACTGCTTATTTTCTTTACCGTAAAACTTAAAAGTCCATAAACTGTTCATATGACATGGTTAGTTAATGTGCTGTCTCTAAGATCTGAGTTTAGAGTACCAGATTGGCTAGCTGATTACAGTTTCTTTTTCTCATTCCCAGTAAAATATTTATGGATTTTATTTATTAATAGAGAGAAGAGTCTTTCTGTCTTATAAGGTTAGAAAGATAACTCTTCCTATAGAAATAGAATGTCAAGGCCAACATGGTGGCACATGCCTGTAATCCCAGCTGCTCAGGAGGCAGAGGTGGGAGGATCACTTGGGCTCAGGAGTTCAAGACCAGCCTGGACATAGTGAAACCCCATCTCTAAAAAAATAAAGATACAGAATGTTAGCGGCCAGTGTATTGAAGAAGTATGTGTGTGAGTTTAAAGAGCTTAACTAATGTTACTTTTAGGCATTATACTTTTCTATAACTCAGTTTTCCTTGTAGAAGGATAATAGTACTCCATTTTGTCTTTATTAAGTTAGAGGATGTAGGGAAAACATAATTTATTTACATCCTTGAAGACTTTACAGAGAAAACTGATGGTTCTCAGATTATTACATTTTGGGGTTTAAAATAGCTTTCTAGTCCATATTAATATTTCCTTTTTTGCATTTATCATGTTGGTTCTTTTTATATACCCAGGTGCTATACTTGTATTTTTACCTGGACTAGCAGAAATCAAAATGCTCTATGAACAGCTACAGTCTAATTCTCTTTTCAACAGCAGACGTAGTAACCGGTAAGCTCATTGCTTTCTATATTCCTGATCATCCATTGCAGTTAGCTACAAAGATGAAAAAAGACTAGAAATGTCTTTTTTGTGGTCATTACCCTCTTTAGATACTGTTATTATTCATCAGATATACATTTGCTTATGCTAGCTGGAAATGAACAGACCTATTTGTTCCAGGAAGTCCATTATTCCCATTTTATTAGAGAAAGTATTTCTCTTTGCTTAGCATAGTGACTCAGCAAACTTGCTGTAATTCCAGTTGCCAGATTCCTAGGGAGCGGGGAGGGGAGAGGTAGGGAAAAGCCATTGTTAGTAACAACAAAGTACTGCTGTTTTAGTGGTTCCTATTCCAGCAGCAAGACACACTGGATAGTCGGACTTGGTGGCTCATGCCTATAATCCCAGCACTTTGGGAGGCTGAGATGAGAGAATTGCCTGAGCCCATGGGTTCTAGACCAGCCTGGGCAACTTGGTGAGACCTTATCTCTACAATAAATAAAAAAAATTAGCCGGGCATGGTGATACGTGCCTGTAGTTCCAGCTACTTAGAAGGCTGAGTGAAAGGATTGCCTGAACCCAGTTGAGGCTGCGGTGGCCATCATTGTGCTACTGCACTCCATTCTGGGTGACAGAGTGAGACTCCAACTCAAAAAAAAAAGACACACTGAGTGTGTCTTTACATCTAATGCAGAAACTATTTGTCAAATAAACACTGCCTAGAAATGTAAGAATGATGTTTCTGAGCTTACATCGCTGTCTTTGCTTCTCTTTCTCTGGATTTAAAGGTAAGGAAAAACATGATTCTTTGCTGGTTAGTTTGCTCTAAACTTGCTACTTATAGAATACCAGTTATTTATTCCTCTCTACTATTTACTACTGAATCACACACCAGCATTTTTCTCAAGTTGGTCAAAGGTTTTTAGTTCCTAGAACAGAATAGGTATTGTGTGGGAATCAGGAAGAACCTTCCCATCTGGAAGAGCGAGGTCTTGAGGATGGGCTGTAGAGAAGCCGCGGACACTGGAGGGATGTTGTCAGCATTATGGGCATTCATCCACTCTAACCCAGTTTCAGTGCCTGGTGCTGGAATACTTCCTGTGCTTTTGTTTCCTTTTAGATGTGTGATCCACCCGCTACACTCATCTTTGTCCAGTGAAGAGCAGCAGGCTGTGTTTGCAAAACCTCCTGTAGGTGTAACTAAGATTATAATCTCCACCAACATTGCTGAGACGTCCATCACCATCGATGATGTTGTCTATGTTGTTGATTCTGGGAAAATGAAAGAAAAGAGGTATTCTCTTTGGGTACCATAAGAGAGGGGCTAAAGGTGCCTCCTTTAGGGAGGCACAGCTTTTTTTTTTTAATTTTAAAGATGTGGGGCACAATTCAGGGTTAGGTATACAAACGTTGATTGTGTAGATACCCTTGTTGATGAGGCCTGCCCCTCCTCCCCTGGCAGTTTCCCACTACTGCCAATCCCTTTCTTATAATATTATGGTAATTGTTCAAGGTCCAGTTATGAGTGAGAACATATGGTACTCAGTTCTTTGTTTCTGTGATAGATCACTGAGTATGATCGACTCTATATCCATCCAAGTTGCTGTGAAGTCCATATGTTTGTCCTTCTTTATGGCTGCATAATGGGAGACACAGCTTTTAATGGCGAATGCTATTAAGCTGAATGGATTGCAGTTTGACAAAAATACTTCATGAAACTGGATGTGTGAGTGATTCTGTAGCCAAGACCATGGATCTGAAAGTCAAACGGGTGGGAAAGTTTAAGGTTTCTCCTTGGAAGTAATGAACCACTTTTCCTGTCTTTTTCTCACTTGATTTTATATGTGCTTAGATGAAAAACAGTTTAATAAAGAGATTGTGGGTAGTGGTACATATCACCACTTAAATCAACACTAGCTGTTCCCCCTAGGGACTCAAGTATCCCAGAGTACACAGGGCACGGTCCTTATATTGGGAGCCAGTTCACCTAGTATGTCCATGCAAAGTAGTCTTGGCCAGGATCCTGTAAAATAATTATTGTATGTTTTCTTTTCTGTATAGATATGATGCCAGCAAAGGGATGGAAAGTCTAGAGGATACTTTTGTTTCCCAAGCCAACGCTCTGCAAAGAAAAGGCCGAGCGGGCCGTGTGGCCTCCGGGGTCTGCTTCCATTTATTCACCAGCCATCACTACAGTCACCTGCTGTTAAAGCAACAGCTACCCGAAATACAAAGAGTGCCGCTGGAGCAGCTGTGCCTAAGGTTGCCTCTGGATTTTTGTGTACTGCTTCCGAAAGGTCTAAGTGTGTCTCTTGCCCCATTAAGTTCCATGTTTTTCTTTTCTTACCAAAAGATATCTTGCTAAGAATGGTTATGGATAAACTCATTTGTGAAGAAAGAGTTCTTCAGTGTTGCCTTCACCATACCTTTTTTTTTTTTTTTTGAGTTGGAGTCTCACTCCTTTACCCAGGCTGGAGCGCAGTGGCACACGCGCTCATGCCCACCCCAGCACCGACCTTCTGGGCTCCAGTGATCCTTCTGCCTCAGCCTTCCGAATAGCTGGAACTACAGACGTGCACTACTATGCCCAGCTATTTTTTATTTTATTGTAGAGACAGGGTCTTGGCAAGTTACCCGACTGGTCTCGAACCTATAGGCCCAGGCAATCCACTCACCTCGGCCTCCCAAAATGCTGGGATTACAAGATGAGCCACCAAGCCCGGCCTTCACCATACCTTTTAACTCCTGTACATAAAGATCTCTTATGTTGCACAGCAGGACCCTAAAATAGAGTTTCTGGATACATTTGTAAATTAGGAAAAGAATCGAACTTATACAGGAATTTCTGCTGGGGCAACACCAATATCAGCTTATGCCAGGGAAAAGTGAACAAAAGTCGAAAACTCCATTATTTGCCTAATGAACAAATGTCATAAAATAGGATTTAGTGAGAAAATGTTCAAACTCACTGTCATTAAGGCTGGGAAACTTTGATTCAACCTTTCTGAAAATTTGCTTGGTGACACATAAGAACTCTAAAACTGTCTATGTTCTTTGACCCGGTCACTACCTCAAGGGAGTATGCCCATTTAAATAACCGTAAGGGGAAAATAATAGCTTATACAAGGATGAAATAGCACTTCTTTCAACCAGCAGGTGTATTTTGAAGCCTCTCGTTTCCCAGGCACTGGGTGAAGCATAGGGAAACCATAGGATACAAGAAGAGGTCCTGTGTTTGACTGTCCATGGTCTGGGATTAAGGAACTGGGGAGAGCCTTCGCCCTGAACTTAGGGGATGAAGGGATTTGTGAGCTTTGGGAGTTGGTTGACCCATGAAGGAAGACGAGAGAAGGGGAAAATGGAATGTGACTTTAAAACAACTCAGATAGTTAAGAGTGGGAAAACAGGCAAGTTATATAGTCCAACAAAGTTAACTCTTCTTTTTCCATTTGAAATTTAAGTGGATCACTGTCAATGTGTGTCTTTAGTGAAATACATGGAGCTAGGTACCAACTATGTATGCATTAACAAAAATGTAAAACTATATGCATATAAGTCGACTATATGTATATAAGTTTAAAAGGAATTATAAGTGAAGCAAATATAATTTTATCTGTTTATATTTTTCTCTTTTGAAGAAATTGCAGAGTTCATAATTTAAAACAGTAGTTTTTCAAGAGCTGTCATAGGCAAGACATGATGCAGTGTAATTTCATAAGCAATGACTGCAAGCAGGATGTGGTGACTCATGCCTGTGATCTCAGTACTTGGGGAGGCGGAGGCGAGAGGATTGCCTGAGCCCAAGGGTTTGAGATCAGCCTGTGCAACTTGGCGAGACCTCGTCTCTACAATAAATCAAAAACTTAGCTGGGAGTTGGGCTTGGTGGCTCAGCCTGTAATCCCAGCCTGTAAGCCTTGGGAGGCTGAGGTGAGTGGATTGCCTGAGCCCACGGGTTCGAGACTCGCCAGGGCAACTTGGCGAGACTTCATCTCTACAATAAATAAAAAAAATTAGCCGGGTGTGGTAGCGTGCACCTGTAGTTCCAGCTACTTGGAAGGCTGAGGCAGAAGGATCGCCGGAGCCCAGCAGGTCGAGGCTGCGGTGACCAGGAGCGGCCACTGCACTCCAGTCTAGGCAACAGAGTGAGACTCCAACTCAAAAACAAACAAACAAAAAAAACAGCTGGGTGAGATAGTGCTCACCTGTGGTTCCAGCTACCTGGAAGGCTGAGGTGGAAGGATCACCTGAGTTCAACAGGTCAAGGCTGTGGTGGTCGTGAGCGTGCCACTGCACTCCAACCTGGGCGACAGAGTGAGACCCTGACTCAAAAAAAAAACGCAAACACAAAATGGCTGCGATTTCAGATGTGAGAACATGTGAATCATTTTCATTAAAAAAAAAAAAACCTTTAATTGTATAGCAGTCATAACTGTCTAAGCTAATCATTTTCGGTTTACTCTTTATTTTTTTAGAGTGGGGTGTCTTGCTCTGTTGCCTAGACTTGATTACAGTGATGCAATCATAGCTTGCTGCCACCTTGAACATCCTGGCTCAAGGAATCCTCCTGTTTTAGCCTCTTGAGTAGCTGGGACTACAGGACCTGCCACCGTGACCAGCTAATTTTTTTTAATGGTTTTTTAAAGATGGAATCTGACCATGTTGCCTAGTGTGGTCTTGAACTCTGGGTCTCAAGTCTCCCACTACAGCCTCCCAAGGTGCTGGGATTCCAGGCATGCACCACCATGCCTGGCCAAGATCTATCCTTTCAACGGGTTTCTGAGTGCACAACATAGTCTTGTTGGCTGTAGCCACAGGGTTGTAAAGCAGCACTCTAGAACTTACTCATCTTGCATCACTAAAGCTTTATACCCATGGGACAGCAACTCCTCGTCCCCTTCTCCCCAGCCCCGGCAGCCACCATTCGACTCTCTGCTTCTGTGAGTTTGACTCTTTTAGATCCGTCTTCTAAGTGGAATCACACAGTCAGTCTGTGACTGGCTTGCCTCACTTACTATCTTGTCCTCAAGGTTTCATCTATGGTGTCACTTGTTGCCGAATTTTTTAAGGCAGAACAATAGTCCATTGTATCTATATGCCACATTTTCTTTATCCACTCATCTTTCGATGGATATTTCGTTGATTCCACATCTTGGCAATTGTGAATAGCACTGCCGTGAACATGGAAGTGCAGATATCTCTGCAAGAGCCTGACTTCAGTCCATTTGGATGTGTCCCCAGAAGTGGGATTGTTGGATCATCCTGGGAGTTCTACCTTAATTTCCTGAGAAACCTCCATCCTGTTTTCCATTTTCCATTCCTACCATTTACATTCCCACCAATAGCAGCACACAAGGGTTCTAATTTCTCCAGTCCTTGCCAACACTTGCTATCTTTGTCTGTTTCATAGTTTGAAGCCACTGTCATAGAAAGAAGCATTTGAAAGTTTATAATTTTATTCTGAATATGAATGTACTTCAGGGTCTGAAAGTGAGTTTCTGGGGTGTATGGCTGGGACAACTAGAAGACTCATGAGAAGTTTTTTGTTTTTTGTTTTTTTGAGTTGGAGTCTCACTCTGTCGCCCAGACTGGAATGCAGTGGCCGCTCCCGGCCACTGCAGCCTTGACCTGCTGGGCTCCGGCGATCCTTCCACCTCAGCCTTCCGAGTAGCCGGAATTACAGGCATGCGCTACCATGCCCGGCTGATTTTTTGATTTATTGTAGAGAGGAGTCTCGCTGCCCAGGCGGGTCTCGAACCCGCGGGCTCAGGCAATCCACTCACCTCAGCCTCCCAAAGGTGCAGAATTACAGGCTGAGCCACCGAGCCCGGCTTTGTGAGAAGTTTTTAAAGTTCGATTTCAACGAGCATTGTGTGGTTTATAAAAGCCTATATCTGGGAAATTGTAAATTAGTCTCACTCAAGAAAGAAGTTGTTCCTCTGTGTCTTTCCACTAGAAATAAAATTGACAAATCATTATTTTGTTTTCTCTCTCAGAATTAAAATTTTGGAGATGTTCGGCGCTCATAATCTCCAGTCTGTATTCTCTCAGCTCATTGAACCTCCACACGCTGATTCTCTTCGTGCCTCAAAAATACGATTACGAGACTTGGGAGCATTAACCCCTGATGAGAAATTGACCCCGCTTGGATACCACCTGGCCTCTCTGCCCGTGGACGTGAGAATCGGCAAGCTCATGCTGTTCGGGTCTATCTTCCGCTGTTTGGATCCTGCTCTCACCATTGCTGCCAGTTTGGCCTTCAAGTCTCCTTTTGTAAGTAAAGAACATTCTCTAAACTGGACTCTGTGGAAACTGGAGGCATCAGGATATTTGAGTCTCCTAAAAATGTGCTTGTATGTTGGATATGAATTTTCCAGGGCATGATGCCATCGATCCTCAAAGAGATCCGTGCCCCAAATAAAGGTGAAGAACTGAAGATATAACTTATGAAGAATAATCCAGGCCGGGTTTGGTGGCTCAGCCTGTCATCCCAGCACTTTGGGATGCTGAGGCGAGTGGATTGCCTGAGCCTGTGGGTTCGAGACCCACCTGGGCAACTTGGCGAGACATCATCCCTACAATACATCAAAAAATTAGCTGGGCATAGTAGCACACACCTATAGTTCCGATTACTTGGAAAGCTGAGGTGGAAGGATCACCAGAGCCCACCAGGTTGAGGCTGCGGTGGCCGGGAACGTGCACTTTTCTTTTTTCAAAAAAAAAAAGAAAGAATAATCTATAGCCGGGCGTGGTAGCACTCCTGTGGTTCCAGCTACTTGGAAGACTGAGGCGGAAAAATCGCCTGAGCCGATCAGGTCGAGGCTGTGGTGGCCCTAAGCATGCCACTGCACTCCAGCCTGGGCAACAGAGTGAGGCTCCAACTCAAAAAAAAAATCATAATAATCGAGGTCCTTTTTGTGCTATACTTACACATTATAGAAAAATCAGAAAATGCAAACGAGCTACAGATGTCCTTGTATGATAAGGCAATAAGTACATTTTACCCCTTTTTAAAACAGCTTTATTGAAATATGATTTACTTATCATGCAGTTTGCCCATTTAAAGCATACAATTCAAGGCCAGCCTTGGTGGGTTTCACTTGTAATCCCAGCACTTTGAGAGGCTGACGCAGGAAGATTGTTTGAGCCCAGGAGTTTGAGGCAAGCCTAGACAACATAGCAAGACCCCATCTCATAATATTGTTTTTCTCTTTTTTTTTTTTCCTTTGAGTTGGAGTCTCACTCTGTCGCCCCGACTGGAGTGCAGTGGCCGCTTCTGGCCACTGCAGCCTCGACCCACTGGGCTCCGGCGATCCATCCGCCTCAGCCTTCTGAGTAGCCAGAATTATAGGCACGCATTACCATGCCCGACTGATTTATTTATTTATTTATTGTAAAGATGAGGTCTCACCAAGTTGCCCAGGTGAGTCTCGAACCCGCGGGCTCAGGCAATCCACTCACCTCAGCCTCCTAAAGCACGGGATTATAGGCTGAGCCACCAAGCCCGGCTAAGACCCCATCTGTATAAAAAAAATTTAAAAATTAGCCGGGCATGGTGGGGCACACCTGTAGTCCCAGCTACAAGGTTGGCCAAGGTGAACAGATCACATAAGCCCAGAAGGTCAAGGCTGCAATGAGCCATGATCATGCCACTGGAGTGGCAGATCAGCCTGGGTGACAGAGCAAGACCCCAACTCAAATAATAATAAGAAGAAATAAGAATGTTTCACCACCTTATAAAGAAACCCCTTAGCATTACTGCCCTTTTACCTTTTGCTGATATTCTGTGAAGATTTTTACATGTAGATTCGTGAGAGATATTGGCCTATAGTTTTCTTGTAACGTCTTTGGTTTTGGTATCAAGATAACACTGGCTACATAAAATATATTGAGATGTATTCCCTTATCCTCTATTTTTTGGAAGCATTTGTGAAGAAAAATGGTATTAATTCTTCTTATGTTTAGTAGAAGTCAGTGGTAAAGCCACCTGAACCTGAGGGGTTTTTTTTTGCAGGTAGTTTTTAAATTTCCAATTCAATCTCTTGACTTGTTATAGGTCTATTCAGGGTGTCTCTTTTTGTGTCAGTTTTTTGTTTGTTTTTTTTTTTGAGTTGGAGTCTCACTCTGTCGCCCCGACTGGAGTGCAGTGGCCGCTCCCGGCCACCACAGCCTCGGCCTGCTGGGCTCCGGCCATCCTTCCGCCTCAGCCTTCTGAGTAGCCGGAATTACAGGCATGCGCTACCACGCCTGGCTGATTTTTTGATTTGTTGTAGAGATGAGGTCTCACTGCCCAGGCAGGTCTCGAACCCGCGGGCTCAGGCAATCCACTCACCTCAGCCTCCCAAAGGCGCGGGATTACAGGCTGAGCCACCGAGCCCGGCTTGTGTCAGTTTTGTTAGTTTGTGTCTTTCTAGGAATTTGTCTATTTCATTTAAGTTATCTAATTTATTGCATGTAATTATTCATAGCATTTATTTGTAATCCTTTTTATTTCTGTAAGGTTAGTAGTAGTGTGCCCTCTTTCTGATTATAGCACTTTAAGCTTCTCTCTCTTTTTCTTGGTTGGTCTGGCTACAGGTTGGTCAGTCTTTTTCTTTTCAGAGAACCAGCTTTGGGGTTTATTGATTTTTTTTTTTTTTTTTTATTCTCCATTTTGTGTCTGCGCTTTATCATTTCCTTCCTTCTGCTTGCTTTAGAGTTTGCTTGCTCTTCTTCTCCAGTGTCTGAATGGGGAAGACCCGTTAAATGTGGAATCTCTTAGGACGTCCTGAGCTTCGTTTCGTGGTCAGGCACATGGTCTGTCCTGGAGGCTGCTCTGTGTGTACTTCAGAAGAGTGGGTGCCCTGCTGTTGGCTGGAGTGTCTGCCTGCCTTTATTTTTTTTAATGTTTTAATTTTTTTTGAGTTAGAGTCTCACTCTGTCACCCAGGCTGGAGTGCAGTGGCACGCTCAGGGCCACCGCAGCCCCAACCTTCTGGGCCCCGGCGATCCTTCTACCTCAGCCTTCCAAGTAGCTGGAACTACAAGCACACGCTACCATGCCCAGCTAATTTTCTGATTTATAGAGACGCGGTCTCACCAAGTTGCCCAGGCTGGTCTCAAACCCACAGGCTCAGGCAATCCTCTTGCCTCGGCCTCCCAAAGTGCTGGGATTACAGTCTGAGCCATCGCACCTGGCCCTGCCTTTATTTTTACCACGACTTATCTTGTATAGATGGAGGAATAGATGGATGTAATCATTTTCTTCAGGTATAATGTTACACTTCATAGAACTATAAACTCACGGATCTGAAAAAGGTCTTAGTCCAGCTCCTCTCTTAACAACCCCAGTAGAACTAAGGACCAGAAGAGGTGGCAGCACTTGCTATGGGCCCAGGGTCAGTATCCACGTTGCGAACAAGACCGCTATTGCCTTCTCTCCTGTCATCTAAATCTCTCACTGACCGTTTCCTTGTACTGGAATACAGAGAGACTCGTTAGAAGTGATGATGTCAGCTGGCCGTGGTGACTGACGCCTATAGTACCAGCACTTTGGGAGGCCGAGGTGAGGATTGCCAGGTTTGAGACCAGCCTGGGCAACTTGGCAGGACCTCATCTCTACAATAAATCAAAAACTTAGTCGGGTGTGGTAGGGCGCACCTGTAGTTCCAGTTCCTTGGAAGGCTGAGGCAGAAAGATCGCCAGAGCCCAGCAGGTTGAGGCTGCGGTGGCCAGGAGCATGCCACTGCACTCCAGTCTGGGTGACGGAGTGAGACTCCGACTCAAAAATAAAATAAAATAAAATAAAAAGAAGTGTTGATGTCTTCCCTGGTCAGAATTGAGCACCTGTCCTTTGCTGGACTGTGTAAACATAACGTCAAAAACTAAAATTTAAGCTGGACTCGGTGGCTTAGCCTGTAATCCCGTGCCTTTGGGAGGCTAAGGTGAGTGGATTGCCTGAGCCCATGGGTTCGAGACCCGCCTGGGCAGTGAGACCTCATCTCTACAATAAATCAAAAAATCAACCAGGCGTGATAGCGCATGCCTGTAATTCCGGCTACTTGGAAGGCTGAGGCAGAAGGATCGCCGGAGCCCAGTGGGTCAAGGCTGCGGTGGCCGGGAGCGTCCACTGCACTCCAGTCTGGGTGACAGAGTGAGACTCCAACTCAAAAAAAAAAAACCTAAAATTTAGTTGTTGTGTTAGCTATAAAGTTATTCACATGTACAAACAGGGAGAAGCAGCATAGTTGACTTCCAGTGCTTCCAGTGGTGTCTAGCCAGGGCCCCAGTGTAGCTGCTGGGAGGAACCACTGCAGCCCATGCTGGTGTTTCAGAGTCTGAAAAAGCAGAGAAATGTCACTGGATGAAGGAATCAGTATGGGTGAAGCCCATAATGAACTTCTCTGCTGATTTTATAAATGTGTAGAAAAAAGGCAGACCTGTAAATGTTATTAAAAAACAGGAGGAAAACATTATGGGTAGAGAAGCAGGGAAGACTCAAATGTAAAAACTGGATAGGAATCTGTAAAATAAAGATACCATAGAGATAATGCAATTTAGGTTTCAGATGTAGCTTTATAATGCGTGACTCTTTGATAACTCTTGCACTTGGAACTAAAAGACCCAGAGGAGCCCAGTTGGGGGGCGGGGACAGACTCCCAGGACAAGTGAGACTGTTGGCTTCCTAGCTGCTGCCGACTTTGCCTGTAATCGCTGACCCGCTGATTGCGGGTCACGTCGTCACGCAAACGCTCTCGCAAGGCATCTGGCTTCACCAGTAGGAAAGTGCCATTGGAAACCTCATAAAATGAGTCTTTTAAATCTGGTTTTCTTCCTTTAGGTGTCTCCCTGGGATAAAAAGGAGGAAGCCAATCAGAAAAAGCTGGAATTTGCCTTTGCAAACAGTGATTATCTCGCCCTTCTACGAGCATATAAGGCACGTGTCTAGCCTAACAGCTTGGTTTTATTACCAGAGTTAGCACTAAAGACAGAGTGAGTTCAGTTTGCTTTTTCTCCCAAATGTAGGGATGGCAGCTGAGTACAAAAGAAGGTGTGCAGGCAAGTTACAATTACTGCAGACAGAACTTCTTGTCAGGAAGAGTTCTGCAGGTGAGTTGCTCTGTGGCTGTTTGTTCCTTTGTTTTCTGCTGTGGTAGGTCCCTAAAGGGCACTGCTGATGTCTCTCACCTGCCCTGTCTTGATGTGGAAATGTTATTTCTGGACTCTTTTGGCTTTGCCGGCTGTGCCAGATGGACTCCTGCATGGTGACACAAGGTCTTCTGTGCTGCACCTAGTAACTGATGTCTTTTTCCTCTTTTTTGTGAATTGGTGTTTCCTTATATGGAGGTGGAATACAGGAGCTCAGAAGATGGCTGCTGACTGACGTCTGTGTTGTCATAGCTATCCCAGGCACTCTACACCTGGGTCCGTGAGCCCCTGAAATTGTTTGCAAAATTGTGTGTGTCTCCATGTGTTCAGTCTCCTGGAGAGAGGGATCTCAGCTTTCATCTGATTCTCAAAGGGGTCTGTGTCCGTCTCCAGTCCCCTAACCTTCTCCTCAAAACCAGAGAACTGATACTGGGTCAGATTCTCTTCGTTAATTTTTCTTATGTCTGCCAGAACCTACTGTGTGTCAATAATGATACACAAGAAGGAGAAAGGTTTATTACTCTCTGTAATAATAGGCTGGGCTTCTGTCCTCTTTTGTCATCGTGGAGTGGTATGAGAAGCCAAATAATGATGGTGCATGTCTTGTAAAGCACTTGTTTTACTCAGTCTTTGGGGCTGGGAAGGGGAAGGGGCCCCCTTTCGTATTAAACACTGATACGCCACAAAGTTGAACACAAAGCGAGTGCTCCTAGTACCTTCCATTACCTGGCAATTGTGTGTTCCTCTCTGTCTTCCAAGCCCTGGAAGAGCGGAGACCTTACCTCTTGTGCTCAGCACTGTATCCCAGTGCCCAGCACAGAGTTGGCACTTAGTAAAGATTCACTGAATAATGTACAAATGAGTGAGTTTGCCCTTTTAAGATGAAGTGATAAACTCTCAAGACCACCCCATGTTGCATTCATTCTTCTGCCTTCATTGGTACCACAGTGAGACTTTCTGCAAATACAAAAGCTGTAGTTTTATTCTAAGAGCTTCAGAAGCAATAATTGTCGATCTTGACTGCACAATAAAGTCTCCTGAAGTGACTTTAAAAAATTAAAAAGAAAAGAAAAATATTAATGCCTAGGTTCTACTCCAGGCCAATTAAATCTGGATCGGGGGTTGGGGACTGGGCACCTGTTTATGGTCATTGTTGGGCTCAATGATTCTAATAATGCAGTAGGGGTTGGGAACCACTTATCAAAAGGGGCATTTATGTGGTACAGTAGTAAATATTTTCTTTATTTTTTTATTTGTAGAGACAGTGTCTCACTGTGTTGCCCAGACTGGTCTCGAACTCCTGGCCTCAAGCAATCCTCCCAAATCAGCCTTCCAAGGTGCTGGGATTACAGGCATGAGCCACCACGCCCGGCCTAAATATTTTCTCAAGTCATTAAGATTTTTAAGTGCAAAATGAGGATATTTCTTTTAAATTACATATCTTACTAAACTTCTCTATTATTTTTCTTCAGTTTATATGTAAATATAGCTGTGATCTATGAGGTCCATCAAACAAGAGTTCTCTCTTGTCCCTATACTCCTTTGGATGGTAGGATTATTTTTATGAAGATTTCAATTGAAATTCTGTCATGAAGTAGAAACTCTGGTGTATTTAACTCCTAGTTACATTTGGCCATGTTATCCATGTGAACTTGAGACGTTCCAGGAGAAGACCTGAGTTGTTTGTCCCTGGGCAGGCGGGCAGGCGACAGGCTGTGTTGCTTAGTTCTCTGGCCTCCTTCCCTGTTGTCTGATATGCAGTCTGCATTAGACCAGAGGCCATGAGGGGAGGAGGATCGTGCTTTTCTTGCTCAGGTTTGTGCTCAGCCACGAGAAGGAGGGTCTAAATCCAAATCACTTACTAATGTCCCTGTTCCCAGGAAGAGGTGAGCCGGTGAGGCCACAGGTGGGAGGAACAGGGAAGGTTCTGCTGGTTCCACTGAGACAGAGCGAAGAGGCTAGAGCAGCTCTTGGAGTTTGTGGTTCCAGTCAAAATACACATCCTCAGCATTTCAGGGAAAATCAGACCTACCCAAAATTCAATGAAAGCGTTTAAAAATGTAATCTAGAGTTCAGTAAGTGATCCTCGGGCTTCTGTGCAAGCGTTGCACCCCGGGTGCCATCTGTAAGAGTGAGAACCACAGCCGGGCTCGGTGGCTCAGCCTGTAATCCCACGCCTTTGGGAGGCTGAGGTGAGTGAATTGCCTGAGCCCGCGGGTTCGAGACCCGCCTGGGCAGCGAGACCTCATCTCTACAATAAATCAAAAAATCAGCCAGGCGTGGTAGCGCATGCCTGTAATTCCAGCTACTTGGAAGGCTGAGGTGGAAGGATCGCTGGAGCCCAGCAGGTCGAGGCTGCGGTGGCCGGGAGTGGCCATTGCACTCCAGTCTGGGTGACAGAGTGAGACTCCAACTCAAAAAAAAAAAGAGTGAGAACCACTTTTAGGAAGTGTTAGGTGGACGAGATCACCTCCCACCTGTGTGATGATGCCACAGAACCAGCTGCCCACCACAGCAATCCACATCTGCAGTCACTCACCACTGGAAGACTGAGCACACACCTTTGATGTACCGGTGCCCTTGCTTAAAGGTTTCTCCGCCTCTTTCAGGAAATGGCCAGCCTCAAAAGGCAATTCACGGAACTCTTGTCAGATATAGGGTTTGCAAAGGAAGGCCTCAGAGCGAGGGAAATTGAGAAGCGGGCCCACGGAGGCGACGGGGTCTTAGATGCCACCGGAGAGGAGGTAAAGAATTGCAGTTAGCTTTCATTTCTTTTTGATTAGCACATGGGTGATACTGACTTGGGAATACTTGAAGACGCTTGTCTTCACGTAAGCCCTGTGACCAGTGGGTTAGGGGCATCCTGCTTTTTTTTTCTCAGTTGGAGTCTCACTCCATCACCCAGGCTAGAGTGCAGTGGCATGGTCACGGCCACCCCAGTGTCGACCTGCTGGGCTCAGGCAATCCTTGTGCTTCAGCCTTTCAAGCCGCTGGAACTACAGGAGCATGCTACCATGCCTGGCTAATTTTTTTTTTTTTTTTTTTTGTAGTGACAAGATCTCGCCAAGTTGCCCAGGCTTTCTCGAACCTGTGGGCTCAGGCAGTCCTCTCACCTCAGCCTCCCAAAGTGCTGGGATCATAGGCTTGAGCCACCACACCCGGCCTGGCATTCATGATTTTCTTCTTTCCAAAATAAGTGTCACCTAACGCTCATAAAAACAAAAGGCTTTTTCTGTTCATTGTTGCTGATTTTGTTTTTTTAAGTTTCACATTGGTTCTTGATAAATTCGTAAGAGGTCAAAAAGGCTTTCCAATAATGTTTTCTCAAACCAGCTAGCTTTGTTCTAAGCAAGGACAGTTTTTGTATAGCTGTAGGAAGGGCACTCGTGCAAGATGAGCCTGACACCCTCTGTTCTCAGTGCAGTTGCTACTTTTGGGAGATTCTGAATGTCTCATGAACCAAAATGTCTCTCTCCACTAATGCTTAGGAACACTGGCTTTGTAACTAACTGCCTTGCAGAAATCTAGAAAGAGTCATTGTGGGCTTCTTGGAGTGGGTTCTGTCTATGGTCCAACAGAGTTTTACTTAGAAAGAAATAACTTTCCTAGCAAAGAGATAGTCATTAGATGCTCTTTTTTGCTTTGTTTAAGATTGAGATCTAATGTAATATAATGGTAAATTCCGGGGCACAGACACCAGTAGCCCCATTACTTGGTAACTAATGCTGTGTTTTTTTCACAGGCAAACTCAAATGCTGAGAACCACAAGCTGATATCAGCAATGCTGTGTGCTGCTTTGTATCCAAACGTAGTGCAGGTAACAAACCATCTTTCCGGGGTCCTCCCAGTTTTTGTCTAGTTTATCTCCAAGGAATATTAGTGACAATGTGCACGTTGATCATCTGAAAGAGGTTCACACACATGTACCAGTACACACACACACACACACACACACACACACAGCCTCTTAAACTAAGTATATGTTTCCAGTCCTTCAGTTCCCCAAATCTCCTTGGCTACATCATTGAGGAGCACATTTATTGCATAAAAGTTGTTTTTTTGAGTCAAAGTCTCACTCTGTCGCCCAGGCTGGAGTGCAGTGGCACACTCACAGCCACCGCAGCCTCGACCTCCTGGGCTTTGGTGATCCTTCCGCCTCTCCTTCCGCTCAGCCTTCCAAGTAACTGGAACCACAGGTACATGCCACCATGCCCGGCTAATTTTTTGGTTTATTGTAGAGACGAGGTCTCGCCAAGTTGCCCAGGCTGGTCTTGAACTCCTGGGCTCAGACTATCCTCTCGTCTCCGCTTCCCAAAGTGCTGGGATTATAGGCCACCGTGCCCGGTTTGCATAAAAGTTTTAATCCTATTATGATATTCCAAAATGAAAATAGACATAGATGTCCATCTGTCAGCCAACCTGTCCGTAACTAGCTTTCTGTGTTGTTGGAATCTTGGTTTACTAAAGTTTCCCTCGTGGCCTCTACTCTGGACTGAAATCAGATGAAAACAATCAGAGCTTTGCCACAGGATCACCTGCAACCAGCCTTCTGGAACCTGCCTAAGTATGCTCTTGGGCTCTTATCCGAGTTCTGATTATCCAGCCCTTTCCAGGGACCATTTCTCCCGAAGAATTTGACTTTAGCAGAGCACCGAATCATTTTTAAGGTCTTAACTTGCGTATTAAATTCTCAGTTAACATCTGATTTGTCTCATTTTCTGCCTAGTACTTGTATGCTTTTCAGCCATTTGAAACGCACTTTGAAAATCACTTGGACCCTTCTGTAGTTCATCAGCCTGATGCTGGGTCCTCACACACGCGTGTGAGATGTGCCTCCCTCAGCCTTGTTGCGGCATCAGCACGTTACCCACCTGACATGGAAAAACAAGCATTTGGGTGTAGATTTTCTGGTTTTGGTAGGATACTATAGCTGTGGAAGGTGTTACCATGGGGGAAGCTGGGTAAAGGGCACTAGAAACTCTCTGTACTGTTTTGCAGCTTCCTAAGAGTCGATATTTATTTCAAAATTTAAAGAAAAAAGAATGTGGAGAAAAATAATTTCTTTAAAATGTAGAAACAGCTGGGCTCGGTGGCTCAACCTGTAATCCTGCGCTTTGGGAGGCCGAGGTGAGTGGATTGCCAGAGCCCGCGGGTTCGAGACCTGCCTGGGCAACTTGGCGAGACCTCATCTCTACAATAAATCAAAAAAATTAGCCGGGCATGGTAGCGCACGCCTGTAGTTCCAGCTACTTGGAAGGCTGAGGTGGAAGGATGGCCGGAGCCCAGCAGGTCGAGGCTGCGGTGGCTGGGAGCAGCCACTACACTCCAGTCTGGGTGACTGAGTGAGACTCCAACTCAAAATAAATTAATTAATTAATTAAATAAAATGTAGAAACAAAAACCATAAATATGGTATAAGGAATTTTAGGTGACAAATAATGTAATCTTGAAACTAAACCAAAAATGAAAAGGTGATAGGTCTTACTATATGTTTAAGAACTCAAAAACAACAACAAAAAAATACCAAATCAAAGAAATTTGCTGGGTGTGGTGGCACACGCCTATAGTCCTAGCTACTTGAGAGGCTAGGGCAGGAAAATCACCTGAGTTCAGGAGGTTGAGGCTGCAGTGGCCGTGAGTGTGCCACTGTACTCCAGTCTGGGCAACAGTGAAATTCCGACTCAAAAAAAAAAAAAAAAGTCAATTGGAAAGACTAAAAATAGATCTGGTAGAACCTAACAGAAAAGTAGGTGAAGGGTGTGAATGGCAGACGATACATACTCAAAAGCTGTGTTCAGTATTGCTAATGTGGAGATGCAAATTAAAGCAACAAAAGACAAAACATCTTTTTACTTTTTAAATTAACAAGATTTTGGCCGGGTACGGTGGTTCACACCTGTAGTCCTAGCACTTTGGGAGGCAGAGACGAGAGGATTGCCTGATTCAGGGGCTCAAGACCAACCTGGGTAACTTGGCGAGACCTCTCTACACTAAATCAGAAAAACTAACTAGGCGTGGTGGTGCACGCCTGTAGTTCCCGTTATTTGGAAGGTTGAGGCAGAAGTATCACCTGAGCCCAACACGTCAGGGCTGCGGTAGCCATGAGCATGCCATTACACTCCAAGCTATGAGACTCTGACTCAATAAATAAATAAATAGACAAGACTTTTTTTTTTTAATTTTAATACAGCTGGTATGGTAGCATATGCCTGTAGTCTTAGCCACCTGGAAGTCTGAAGCAGAAGGATTGCTTGAGCCCAGAAGTTCAAAGCTGCCATGTGCTATTATTGCACCTGTGAATAGCCACCGCACTTCAGCCTGGGCAACACAGCAAGACACTGTCTCTAAAACAAATAAGTAGATAATTTTTTAAATAAAAATTATAACACTAGTGCTGTCATGTGCCCCTAAAATGGACACTCTCACTCTGGGTGGGAATATAAATGTATACAGCCTTCCTAGATAGTAATTTTATTTATAGGGATTTATTATTAGGAAATAATTGCATATGTGGACAGATATAGCTAGGAGAATGTTAATTTCAGGACTGTTGTGTCTTTTGGGGTGTTTTTTGTGTGTGTGACAGTCTTGCTCTGTCATCCAGGCTGTGGTGTGATCAGTTCACTGCAACCTTGAACTCCTTGGCTCAAGTAATCCTCCTGCCTCAGCCTCCTGAGTAGCTGGGACTACAAGCACACACCACCACGCTCAGCTAATTTTTGTATATATGTATTTTTGTAGAGCCTGTTGCCCAGGCTGATCTCAAACTCCTGGCTTCCAACAGTCCTTCCACCTCAGCCTCGGAAGGTGCTAGGATTACAGGTGTAATCTAACACACCCAGCCAGCACTATTTATAATTGCAGATAATCTAAATTTCCAATCATAGGGAATTTATTGATTACACAGTTTTTTTTTTTTTTTTTTTGGAGTTGGAGTCTCACTCTGTCGCCCAGGCTGGAGTGCAGCGGGACACTCGCAGCCACCCCAGTTTTGACCTGCTGGGCTCTGGCAATTCATCCTCCTCAGCTCTCCAAGTAGCCAGAACTATAGGCACACGCTCCCAGGCTCCGCTAATTTTTTTATTTATTGTAAAGACAAGGTCTCGCCAAGTTGCCTGGGTTGGTCTCGAACCCCGCAGGCTCAGGCAGTCTTGCCTTAGCCTCCCAAAGTGCGGGGATTACAGGCTGAGCCACTGAGCCCAGCCGATTACATTTTATAAATCCTTACAACAGGAGCCTATACATGCCCATCGAAAACTATGTCTTAGCCGGTCCCTGTGGCTCAGCCTGTAATCCCACGTCTTTGGGAGGCTGAGGTAAATGGATTGCCTGAGCCTGCGGGTTCGAGACCCGCAACTTGGCGAGACCTCATCTCTACAATAAAACAAAAATTAGCCGGGCGTGGTAGCGTGCACCTGTAGTTCCGGCTACTTGGAAGACTGAGGCAGAAGGA